GAAAGAGTTTTTTGGAGGGACGCTGTAAAAATACAGACATCCCCCCTTTCCTCCTGCCTTCCACAAGCAGAAAACTTTTTCTAAGATCCAAGTCTCTGTGTTTCTAATATAGTACTCTGCAAAGCTGTTACCAGCTCTTTAACCACGTATAGGATTACAAAAAGTGTGTGCCCACACAAAAGGGCTTATTTTAATTATAGAGGTTAGCATGATGCAAAGAAAACAGCTTGCCATGTCTATTAAAATCCCACTGGGTGGCCTCTGGCAAGCCAGTAGAGTTATGTGCACTCACCTCAAAGCTATGACCAGAATAAAAGGAGGTAAGAATTGTTAAGTACTTGGTAAACTGAAGCATTCAAATTAAAATTATCTGTATATGATCTAAATAAATGTGAATGAAAAAAGTCAACCTGGCTTCAGGTTTTGAATGATGGTTCAGTTACTAAAGTCCCCAAACATTCCATCAAGTGACTTACTGTTACTTGTGAAAACTACTTAGTTTTCAAATAGATATTGCTGTATAAAATCACAACAATGCCAGGGAATAAGACAGATTCATGAAGAACAGGTCTACAAGTGCTGGGAGGCATCATCAGGGGAAGGCCTCAGCTTCTATTGCCGTTGTTGACCTTCCAGAGCAACCAGCTGGCCACAGAGTGACACAGGATGCTGGATTAGATGATCTGTTCCAGCAGAGCTCTTCTTATGTTCACATCAAGACTGGATTGCTGTAACAAAGACCACATAGCTCTCCCCTCAAAGTCAACCTGGAGACACTCAGTGGTGGCGAACCTATGGCACGGGTGCCAGAGGTGGCACTCAGAGCCCACTCTGTGGGCACACGTGCCATCGCCCCAGCCAGGCCCAGACCATCATTAAAGTGTCGAATTCTCCGCCAAATAATTTTAAGTAAATGAAAGCATTTGGGATTGCTTTCCTTACTTTGTTTGGATCATCTTAAGTTAATGTATGAGTTGTTTTTTCTAAAGTAAAACCTCAGTATTCAGGTTAAATTGCCGTGTTGGCACTTTGCAATAAATAAGTGGGTTTTGGGTCACAGTTTGGGCACTCGGTCTCTAAAAGGTTCGCCATCACTGCACTAGCTGATGCAGAACACTGCAGTTTGGTTGTTACGAGAAGGTAGCTGAAGCGTGCATATTAAACCCATTCTGCAGTCACTTCACTGGCTGCCCATGAGCCACCAGGCATACTTCAAGGCATTGGCCATCACACAGAACCCTCATATCTACAGGACCACCACTCCTCTGATACTACACAACAAGTAACTTTGCTCACCTGAACAAGGCATCACACAGAACCCTCATATCTACAGGACCACCACTTCTCCTCTGATACTACACAAGTAACTTTGCTCACCTGAACAAGGCCCTCTGCAGGTACAAACCACTACCTATACACATACATTCTCCGTAGCGGCCCTCACCTTGTGGAATGGATTGTCTAAGGAGGACAGGAAATCTCCTACACTTCTGGCATTCCACAAACTATGTAGAACAGGAGGGCATTTTTAAGATGAAAAATAATAATAATAAAAAGGTGATAGGGCTATATTATAAAGAATGGTTCAAGAAATGAAAGAAGAAAACAGGTCTGTAGACTTTACTATTTGGTATGGCATGTGTTATCTGTTGCTGTATTCATTTTCTTGTTCTCAGTGCACTGTATTCCTCCTTACAAAATACCACTGATTGCTGGTTTAACAGGTCATGATAATATTTCAATACAATCAACAGGATGGGACATCCAGTTTAATATTTCAATACAATCAAGAGGATGAGACATCCAATAATCAAAGAAACCAACATGCTATCCCAACAATTCACTGGTTTTTTTGCAAACACAACTATGCAAGAATCAAGCAAACCCATCAACCATCAAACGAGAAGCATCCATTTCCGTGAATGATCCAAGATATGTTAGGCTGATTTACTGTAACGTTAGAAACACAATTTCCAACTTATGAGGAAAAGTACCCCTAATATGACTCAGCTGGTGCCCCTTCAGTAAATACATGATCTTATGATTAATCTCCAGTAAGTCTTTAGCTACAAAGCCCACCAATATTTGATACTATGGCTCATTCTCTTGGAAGCTTTTTGCCAACAGCTACATAGAAAGATTTTATGTTGTAGTCTGCAACTTCATCCATCAGTGGAACGGCTGTTGGATGCAACTCACTGTACCAAACATAAGCAGGACCTTCGACTAAGGAACTCCTAAGCTACAGAGACTGTGGGAGGGGTCAAATATATCAAAACATTTGAATCCTTACGGGATCATAAAAACAGAATGTTGCAATTTTTTTCCCCTCAACCCCTCTACGAGGGTTCAGAACAAAAAAAAATTTCCTCAACCCCTCTACGAGGGTTCAGAACAGTAAATGTCTTAGAGGGAAAATGGTCATCTGCTGAGGAAATGTTCATCTGTCATTTCTAGAGCCCAGTTGTGCCACATTTGGGGAACACTGCTTTATGTTTTACTTTGAAAGTGGACACTTATTGTTAAGTAAGAGCCATGCATCACCCTTAGCTTTAGCAGAAGCTGACTGTAGCCAAAAGATCCAGCATGGCATGAGGCAAATAATTTTTTCAGTGGAACAGCTGCATAAGAGTGGAGGGGGAAAAGGAATCATTGACAATTAGTTGGCACCTCACGGTATAACAGGAAGAATTCTCGTCCACACAAAAAAAGGTTAAGGCAAAAATGATGTGCAGAGTCAGGAGTTTTACATACGAGTTGTTAGCCTTCCAAAACAAGCAGCTTGCCTGGAATTACACTATGATCTCCACAACAGCATGGACACACATGACAAAATGGAATGCAACAGCCCGAAACAGAGCTTACATCAGCTACTTTGATATACATACTTTCATTTGTGGTTTTAGACAAATTATCAATTTGCCCTAGATGCTACCGTGCTGGTTCACCCCTCCCCCACCAGCTTTGGCAGTGTGCTCTGTGACACAAGCTTTTCTGGGACTTCTTGGGTTCTCTTCAATGATGCACTACTACGAAATTCTACTGAAATGCAAATTCCTATTAAGTAACAGTTCCTGGCCCTGAGATTCCCAAGCATTTTAGGACATTAAAAAGCTCAGTGTTAACTGCAAGAGGAATAACAGTGATCTTTACATCTGCAGCAGAAATGTACGAAAACACATTCTGAGTGATGTGGGGGTTGTGAGTGGGCATGCTAAATATTTTCGCCTCCACTATGTTCTAAAAAGGATCCTTTTTAAAATGGCAGAATTCCTTGATTTTCACCCCCCAAAAGCTCCTTTAAAAAAAAATGTTTCAGCTGTGTTGACTAACCTGATTTGACTGTCCAGAAAGGTAAGGCTCAAAATCGTTGTCGTGAACTGTATCCTTCTGGTGAAGTGAACCATTTTGCACTGAAACAAAGAATACTACTGTTGTAACATTGTACATTCTGAAGTTTTGGTGTGAAGCATATGCTAATGTGTAGCGATAGGATATATAAACAAATCTTCATCCTATGGCACTGCTAATTCTTGTTCAGAGGGATCAGATTTCAATATGATGGGGGGGGGATCCACATGCACTCAAATACGCCCCCGTTGCTTACAAAACTAGTTTGAATAACTGTCACCGAGCAGCCTCAAGCAGGTTTTTCAACAACCTGCAACATAGAAGAACAGGACTAATGCTCATACAGTGCATTCTTAACACTTGTATATCCTGTGAAGGAAAAGAGAGGGACTCAGCAGGCAAGAGGCTTTAATGGCTGCAAAGCCCTAAAGAGGTGAATAAAATACTAGCAGTGTGGTCATCAGTCTCTGGGTGCTGATATATCTAGTGGAAATCGTACACTTCCTGATAAGTGTTAGAAATACCTTCATTTAGCCTGGTCTAGCTTACATCCTGTACAGTGCCTCAAAAAGTACCAGTGTTCGTTAATTAGTAGTATCTGCAGTAAATCTGTCAAACTGTGGCCTAGAGAGCTGCTGGGATTCTTAAGATTAACAGGGGCTCCTCTATGAGATCATCATTACTAAGGTTAACTGAAAGCCTGCAACCTCGAGAGAATAGTTGGTATTAGGCAGTAGTAGAAGAGGAGATTGGATTTATACCCCGCCCTTCACTACCCAAGGGAGTCTCAGAGCGGTTTACAAACTCCTTTCCCTTCCCCTCCCCACAACAGACACCCTGTGAGGTAGGTGGGGCTGAGAGACCTCTTGACAGAAACTGCTCTTTTTCAAGAACAGCTGTGCCAGAACTATAACTTGCCCAAGGTCATCCAGCAGGTGCAAGCGGAGGAGTGGGGAATCAAACCTGGTTCTCCCAGATTAGAGTCCATGAATTTAACCACTACACCACTACACACAGGGAGACAGCAAGGGCTAGCAGGGACAATCAGTGCTCCACATAAACCCTACAATACTCTCAGATCACCAGACACTCTGCAATTAACTGAGTTCCCAATGCAAATATGCAGGGGTTCCTTTGCTGACCAGTTGATGTGGGAAAAGTTCTCTTAAGAGCATTTAAGAGCGCAAGAAAGTTTTCATAGTGCAAGCTACAATACTACATTTAAATGCTCAAAGATTAAGAAGTATTTATACATATAAAGATATCAGAGAAGCATGACTATGCTATGCTACGCTACATACATTTATACTTCATAAACCTACAAACATACATTTGACAAAAATAGGATGCCTTAGCCTAGTACAGTTAGAGTACTTTAAATAGCTCAATGTAACCTCAAGAAAGCCAAAAATATTCATACTTCCTGTTTGGTTTATTTACAGAAACTGCTTTGCTGTAAATCACCTGTTGGGGTGATCTAGAGCAAAAAGCTTTAATGTGAAGCACTCGAAGCATAATGTCAATGTTTAAATGCTATTAATGGCCATTTTCCAGAATACCTGTGATGCTAACCTATCTCAGCCACAGTAACTGTTAGGTTTGCTTAAACCTACTGAAATCACTCTGTTCTGGATTATGACAAGAGACACAAAGATAACTCTTTTAACTCTTACTCATGTAATCCGCTCTGAGCCCACTAGCGGGGAGAGCGGAATATAAGTCGAAATAAATAAATAAATAACTGACTGATTAAATGGCACAGTCCAGTGAAGGCTACTTATAGAAACTTCTCACTTGTTCACTGTGTTCTCTTCGCTGATGTACTTTAAACCCCTTTAAATAGTGAAAGTGAAAATTGCAGACACTGGCTTCCTACAGCAGGCAGCATGCATACTGTAACAGAGCATACAATCATTTGAGGCAACATGTCTTTGAAAATGTAAATAATATAGTTCTTGTGGGTTTGATGTACTGTTTTCCACTATGAAATATCAGGATGGGATGACCTATAAATATGAATAAAATAGTTTTCAAACATATAATGTGAATTGCAAGGACTGTTTGCTTTCTAAAACTATTTATATCAAGTGTTACAATGTTACATATGATCCTCTGCAACATCATGCACTCAGGGGAGTTTGCAAAAACAGTTTCGGTGGAAAAAGAGCAGTGATGTGTCAGCTCCCATGATCCATAATCCCACAGATACTCTGGTGATAGAAGAGGAAGTAGCCTAACTGCAAGATGAAGTTACCACTTAATTTTTTTCCCTTGGAAAGATGAGGCATGATACTGTTGCAAAATCAGGCATCTGTTGTTAAAACAAACTTTAAGATAATGCCTACACATATACACACACACAAAACAAAAGTGTGAAAAGGCAAACAGTCCTTGCAATTCACATTATATGTTTGAAAACTATTTGTGTTGTAGCCCACTGGAAATTTAGCCCATTCAACTCCAGGAGGCTTCAGGGAAACCACAACCAGGATCTTACTGCACATATTTATTAGAAGCTGTTTCATCACTGAGAGCCAGCTATTGCCACTTATGAACAAAGTCCATCTCTACTTCAGATTACTTTGAGATATATATGTTAGATTAGAATTTCCCTTACCTTTATTATCTTGTCCTTTCGGTCTCTGTCATACCATAACACATGATAAAAAAAAACAGAACAGATATTATTTGTCACTTGCTAAGCCCTTGAAATAAAGCAAACCTGCATTCTAATGTAAGCATATTGTAATTCATAAAATATAGTGCACACAATTCTACAGGAACAAGGACATCTTTTTTCTTCTTCTTTCAAAAGCATCCAGATTTAAATCAACCCAATTCCCAACCATTATTCCGTTTCCTGCCTTAAAAGCCCCTTGTCTGATCAGCCAATACTTATATGGAATGATCTCAGAATGACAAATTCTATACAGGAAGTCAAGGGCACGAACATGTACAGTGTCAGGGATTCTGAGGAATCAGTACAAAAAGAATATAACAAATATCAAAGTCTGTGAGATTTTTTAAAAAGGGAAACCACTACAGCTTCCAAAAGGGCCCTAGAGAAGGGACTGGGAACCTAAATGTTAAGTGAAAGAGTTCCAAGTTTGAATCTATCTGGTTTTCGATATTCTCATATCTTTCCATGCATAATATATTGCCTACAAATTTAAATTATCACAGGTGGTTGCTGATGTAAAGTTATGACGTGTTGGCTGAGGGGGTGATGGTGGTGGTTGTGATTCTCACTCCTGTATTTCTGCTGACTAGTGGTTCTATGTATTGTAGCTATGAGTTGTAATGCTTACTTTTTCAATGATTTTGTTTTAGTCTTGTAAGTGTTGCGGAAACGTGCTTTTATGATGCTGTATCTTTGTAAAAGGCAAAATAAACAATTTAAAATTCAAAAAAGAAAAAGAAAACAGAGCAGAGACCAAAAGAGAAGCATGTAACTTCTCAAAAAAAGACAGACAGTATGTGTACTAGATATATTCAAATAAGGCTGCCCTGTGAGAAAAAAGACCTCAAAGGAGAGAAAGAAGCTGACTGCTAGCAAGATCACCAGGATACCTAAACCTATAAAGGAAAGGGGAGGAGGATGACACCCCAAGTCTCAGACCAAGACAACAGTGGAGAGAGAGAAGGGCAACAAGGAAAGCAAATGCCCACATCTTGGCATTTAAGAAACAAGTAGAGAGTAAACAAGTTCCTGGGGAAATTAGTAAAGTCAGAGAAACTCCTCACACACAGAACCAGAAGCATCTTAAATCAGTGAGAAGTGGTTTCTGAAGGGAATGACACAAGAGGTACAGAGGGGGAAAAACCCAAATCTACTGTATGTGTGAAAGAAAAGTTAGTACCACAGCAGCTGGAGAATACCTAAAGAAAGGGCAGCTATGGAGAGGGAAAGGGAAATCACCGTCTCACCTCACTCATGAACTCTGCAGGAGGCCTTAGGCAAGCCATTCTCTGTCAGCCTCAGCTCCACCAAGCCTAGCACATGAGTAATAATCCTGGCTCACCTTACAGGGCTATTATAAGAACTACAGGAAAAAAATCAAGCCCTCTGAACAGTTTATAAATGGTTAACATTATTATTAAAGGGGGAAAG